CACACACACACACACACACTCAAACACACGACACTTGAACAGGAGCTTGTTGACCATCACACAGCCGAGGGACCATGATGGGGAGGGGAGGACTCGGCGAGGTCGCTTTGAAGTTTCTATTCAGGTCTTTGTCCCATTCAGACTGCTGGCAGTAGACATCTCTACTAGAGGCCGGCCCCTCCCATCGTCACACCGTCCCTCCACGTACACACACACACATACACACACATGCACACACTCGAAAAGAATAGCAGACATGTCTGCAGGTCCTGTCCATCACGCAGAGCGTAATTAGGGTGGATTCAAATGCACCCCTTTTGTAGCCTTCTCACTCTCTCCTCTTTCTTTCACCTCCAACCTCCACTCACTTCACTCTCCTTCACTAGCTCCCACCCTCCCGCTTTCTCTCGTTCCAGCCTCACCCCCTTTTTCTCACTTTTGTTGCCTTCTTTTCTTGGCAGGGAGCGAGGCACCTCTCCAGACGTTTTCTTCTCGCGGCCCTCAGCCCCCTTCAATTCCTCTCTTCTGCAGGCGCTCTCCCACCAGTTTTGGCGCTGAGTGTGACCTAATGTTTGACAGACAAGTAGCCTTGGAGAAAAGATGCATCTATCAGAAGCTTGTAATTCTATTAGAATGGACAGAACATCCCCCGGGCAAGCATTTGGCATATACTCTCCATCAATTTAGCTCTTCCCTAAGCCCTCCAGGCCACAGACCTACAAAATGCAGTTTATGCTAACAGATAATCAGCCAGTTAATAAAATGCGTGCTTGTTTGCCTGCGCAAGTGCATGCCTTAACTGCCTCTTTTCCTTCATCGGATTTGTGACATTCAGCTTCAAAGCACGATTTCTCTTCTTGAAATCTCATCTGAGCTCTCTAAGAAGCTATAACGGCGGGAGCTGTGGCAAGTTAAGATTAAAGGATCACAGACATCCACTAATTAGGATTGCTATCAAGAGCCCCCGTATGTTTATATGTCGACAAAAATGGTTACACAGAAAACATCTATTGTCTGGGCTTGCCATCTGATCCGCCGGTTGGGGATATGACAGAGGAGGGAGAAGAGGAAGCGGGGAGCGATGCTTCCATCTCCTGCCGGGATGTTCCAATGAGCATATGTTTATCAGAGATGATTATTTGTCTGTAATCAGCACTTCGCCGTCAGTCACGAGATGATGGATGGGAGAGATGGAGAGGGAAGTGGGCGACGGAACCAGCAGGAAGATGTCTGGACGGCAATCAAGCGCTGCACAAACAGGAAATGTACGTCTGCGGATGGCCCGGCTGTTTTGTTTGGCCTTGCTGCTGTTCCAGTTGAATCAAAGCGAAATGAAACAACTCGTACAACAGCGCCCAAAATAGCCCGTTTACATTAACGGAGTTTTCCCACTGTTTCAATGGCTCGCTGTTTGCAGAAAATCCGTGTTGTTTATGCCCATGTGTATCCGCAACTATAATAGAGAACACTTAACTCTGCGTGAGACAGATGGCAAATGCGTGTGTGTGTGTGTGTGTGTGTGTGTGTGTGTGTGTGTGTGTGTGTGTGTGTGTGTGTGTGTAAGTGAGTGTTTTTGAGGATGTATTGTCTCAGTGGTTAATGGCTATTCATTATTGATTACAGCTGGAACGCTGGAGTCACATGTTCCTTGTACTCTCCCAGATAACGAAGGTTAACCACTTGACCCGGTGCATGCCGAGGGGCTCGGCTCACCTGCGTCCACGCAGCCTGATAAAGAGGCCCGGCTCACGCCGACGCTACGGCCCGGCGTGCTCCGAGCCATGCCTGTAGATCACGGTGGTGTCACGGAGCTACACCAGGGGGTAATGTGCCAGACTTCATTAAGGGCAGATTAAAAGCAAGAGAAGGCTATTTACACTGTGATTTATTTTCACTTTGAGGTTGCTGGCCCGACTGCCGGCTGCCTTATCCAGGAATGATGTCATGGTTTCTGTGTTGGTTTAGTGCAAATATCAGATTGGACGGGGACTATGTCCTTTGGTAGCAGGGTTCAGCTTGGGCGAAACAAAAGACAAAGAAAGCTGCCCTGCTTTCATTTGATTTGTGTCGTTGGAGTAACCGTTATTAGAGTAATGGAAACACATTTTCAACACATTAGCACACGGTTAAAATCATGACGAGTTGTTGCGGCAGCTTCCAAGTTAATTCTGGCTATTAATAGAAGCAGTAATCGCCAAGTATACACATTAACGTGATGACCTCATTACTGGGAAATGCCACCATTTCTTAGACGGCTCTCTGTTCTGTGCGTGTGTGTGTGTGTGTGTGTGTGTGTGTGTGTGTGTGTGTGTGTGTGGGTGGGTGGGCCACAGTGAAGGACCTGAAAGCATCATTCAACACTTCTTTTTCCTTACAAGCACATCATTCTTTGTTAAGCCGATGTGTTTTTCTGTAGATCTTTCACATTCTTTCCATAATCCCCAAGAAATAGATACAACGACTTGTTGTTCTTGCTCCAGTGCCATGCGTCATGGTAAACGCTGCTGGTTCAACATTCATTTTGATTGCTTCCCACAACAAATCTTGGTGTAATGTTGTCCTTGGCAAATAAAGTGCTTCTGATCCCCAAGCTATGGCTTGATCAGAGTAGTGCAAGATGTCGACTATTAACGCCTTGGAGTCCGATTCCTATTGGACTGTTAGCACTGGCTGTGGTAGACCTCAAGCTCTTCTATACAGGCTGCTTTCTGCAAGATCAGGTGTCAATCTGAGGCTCTGTGCTGCAGAGGTATCAGGTTAAGCCCAAATGTCTTTAGAGACCGATATAATTAGTTCCTGAGGTATTTGGATAATGTCACTTTTAAAATTTTTTTTACTTCATTATAAAAACAAACAACATTTCATTATGTTTGCCATTAGAAAGTCGTAAATTTCTGCGGCAATGTGTTTTGGGCCATTATTCATCTGTTCGGTTATGTAGCAATTGGGCTGTATGTGAACAGCGCGTACCTGCATTCCAATGCACCTCAGAATTGATCTTGCTCCCTCTGTAAGTAGTCACCCCGGTCAATATAATCTAATGAGCCCCATACATTAGCTTCCATACATGCTCTGCCTCAACCATGATGTGGTATACTTTGGATCAAACCCTGCTTACCCTACTCTTCTACTAGAATGTTAATCGTGAAGCAATACAGTTTTGCCTCACTCGTAACATGTAGTAGTTATTCCACTAGTGTACCCAAGTCGTTCAACAAATATGCAAAAATATGTTTCGGTCCTGGAAGGCAGGAGGAAAACTTCACCAATAAGATATCTACTCATTTACTAAGATGCCTTAGTCATTCTACAAGTGTGCTGAATTACCAGTTGCTCCTCTATTTGTGTCCTGCAACAGCCCAAGCTTCAGGTCACTTCCTAATTGGCCGTCATTCCATTTCATGTTACATTCAAGGGGGTCGTTGCTTGGTCGAACCTGGTGTTGACCACACACTGATCAGAAATATTCGACCCGTTGAACATTTATGATTATCCACCCACACCGTTTTCACAACATGGTCAGGGAGTAAAAATGGGGGAAATAAATTACAATAACCTTTCAGTGACATCTAAGAATCAGCCTTTGCTGAATTGAATCTGAAAAACGGAATTTCCGCCATTTTTTTTACTGATTTGTGTGTAGCCTATTTAAGACCCATGTTTAATTCATTTAGAAATGAAGAAAATCTTTTATTTACAAAAAAAAAGTAATTGCATTTGAAACATTCTCAAATAAAATTTAGTGGGCTATAACCCAGCCTGTTCTTAGTGGTTCCATTGAAAACAGTGGGCAGATGTTGTATTTTTGAATCCTGCTATATCAAATAAAGAGGAAAACACAATCTCCTTGATGGAGGTAGAATAAAAATATCCTGGAAGCACCCATGTGAAGTCAGAGCGTTTGCATAATGCGCTTAAAATTACTTCATTCCATTAAGAGTTTTGAAAAATGATTATTTACAACAAATAGTGTATCGTTGTTCTATGCCAGAATCGTACAGCCGCAAGGTGACGAGTAGAACAATTAAAAGCTCTTCCATTAAATGGCAGAAGTACTTATCTGACCTGTGCATCCGCTTTTTGTGACATTTTTGTTTGGTGGTGTGCCGTGACACTTTTGTAATGTAAAATATGTGTCTTTGCTTCATAAAGTTTGGGAAATGTTGCTGAACAGCTGCACGCTCGCCTCCCATTCCTCCCAAACATCACAGCCGTTAGGGGGCAGCAATGCTTGACCAAACTTGGTTCAAAATGACGAGAAACTCTCACCCCGCGTCTTCCAAACTAAACACACACACAGCACTCTCACAAAGGGGGCACAGACATGGACATGATCAATTATGTGTCAAGCATTTCTTCCTCAGTGAATGAATGGCCTGCAGTGACTATAGCCTACCGGCCCTCTATTGTCTTTAAACACTGGAGGATAAGTTCTCATGCAGTTCATTATCCCGAAAGGGGACAACTCGAAAGAGATCCAAAGAGGCCATTAATCACCATTCCCTTCAAAGAGGAGAAAGACAGGACCAGAATAACTGCCACTGTAATCCTATACAGTCATTTCGAAACGTTTGAAACACTCCAAGTGATACAGATTTAGACGTTTTGTTTACATAGAAATGATAGTCAGTCAGTTAGATTTATATCTGCGTCAACACTGGAGATATGTTTATAGGCGAGTGTTAAAGGGCTATTCCGGCAAGTTTGAATTTATAGGGGCGAGTGTTTAAAGTCCACCGGGGCATGCTGTCATCCAATTTGCTGAGGGTTCGCTATGACGAATAGTCAAATCAAAGTCCATTTGAATTTGGGTGGAGGAACTGGTGATGGTGGCGTGGGTATGGGGGTGTGAGCTGAGCCCAATAAACACTGGTTTGCCCCTCCTCGCCTCTCGTCTCCACCCCCCCAAATGCCAACGCTTCCTACTAGCGAGTTGGGACGGAGCGATGCGATTGGCTGACTCGTGGGCGATGGGCGGTCCCCAAAGCCCAGTTTGCTTCAGCTCCGGTTACAGTCGGGCTGGAGCCGACGGACGGAGAGAGGTCGATTTGGACGCGGCGAAACAAATGCCCCGGCATGCAAGGAAGCGGCTGGATTGTGAATCACGGAGCGAGCTGACTGCACCTTGCTGTTTTGTTTTGTCTACCCGCACAGGCGCATGAACAAGTGTTTTTTGTTATTTGCTTATTTTGGGCCAAGGAGCGTGTCCGAGTCGGAGCATATACCCGGCGGGAACGCACGCGGAGCAGCCCCTGGAGACCGGAGGGATATTTACAATAGAAACTCACTTCATTCCCCATAAGAATAGCGGTGATTGAAAAGGCACCCTGGAATGTCTCACAGCTTTTGGAACCCCCAACCGGACTTGTGACTGATGGATGGATGTGGAGGCAGCGACAGGTACCAGTAGACAGACAGAGAGCGAAATTTGACAAAGCTGTCTGACTGTGCGCCTCCATTCTTTAAAAGCTGACATTTCTTATAGTTCGGTTCAGTTGACCAGAAGGTCGCCGCCGCCTGTGCGTCATCCACAGGCCTTCCAGGACACTTGTCATCCACCGAAAGCGAGGGTTCAGTCAAGGACGCTGGGCCCGGACTAGAGCTCACGAAGTTGGCCACAAGGACATGAATGTGATAGCGAGCTCACATGCTCCCGACTGACCGACGCTTATCTTCCCACCAGCCCACACTCTCATAAAGACTGTGCGACTAGGTGCTGCCGTTCAGGGCTTGCTGTCCCAGCCGCCTCGGCTCCCACTGTGTGTGCGTGTGTGTGTGTGTGTGTGTGTGTGTGTGTGTGTGTACATTTATCAGCATGGCAGTACTGGCTTGTTGGAAGTATTACCTTTGGATCTTTATCTTGACGTGCAGAACGGTGCTACTTTCAGCCAAAACACTGGAGACGATCATTTGGAGCTCACAAAATCCCAAGTAAGTTTCTTGTTTTGTTTATATATTTTTTTTACTTTTTGGGTACGTGCATAATCGAGGCAGGATTACAAAACTTGCCAGGCTGCAGTCTTTCTTTAAACGTTCTGTGAAATGTGGCAATTATTCACAGCTAAACTAAAATATCGTTGGTCGTTGTTGTTGCTTTTTGTGTGTGTGTGTGATTCATTTCAACCACCAGCTACACGCTAACGCACTCTAAACAATACTTCACTAAAGGCGCCATGATAAATGGTTCATTATGACAAATTATAACACGCACCTTTATACGGCACATTAACGAGGACATTTTGGCTCTAATCAAGACTATGTGGGAGCTCTAAGAATTTTCCACTCATTTGCTCCCATTTCTCCTAATTATCGCAATCAATAGGATCTAGATTATAAATCTTGTTCCAAACGTACAATTCGAAAGGTGTGGTCCAGCCAAATGAAATCAAGTTTGGTCCAGGTGTTCTGAACACTGGCTCCTGGGAGGGCAGCTTTGCACCCTTCCAACATTAACCCGCAGAAATGTGTGAAGCCGTGGTTTCAGATAACAGGGGAATACGTGTTTGGGAGCTGAATTGCACTTGGATCCAGGTTGACGTTCTGTTCACCAAATCAGGGAAATCAGGGGTTAGGTTCTCAGATGCAAGCTGCTGGGAAAAAGATCCTATTATTCTCATCAAAACACAGCAGTGAGAGCCAAGACCGCTTATAATAAAATACATTCTGGTAGCAATTATCACCCACTCAGACTCAACTCCTGTGTTTGCGTGGTGTCGAATCGCGCACGCCTTGTGGGAAAATTTAGTAAAAAGAAACAAAAAAACAAAAATAGCCTCTGTGTGCATGACGCTGGAGAGCTGACCTTCAGCAGCAAGTGAGGCCAAAATTGATTTATCCCTTAAATGTCACATGTCATAGGAGCTTGCTGTGCAGCCAGTGGCTAGCGATATTAGTTGTGTTCATTGGTGTATTTATATTTGGACAGAATGTATACAGAATGTGTATGAGGTCAGATTCGGACCCGAAAGGCCGACCTGTCAGCTTTGATTTTCCCATGCCTTCAGAAGCAATAATCGTCGACAGATACTGAAGTTTAACTCATTAAAACTCCCTCAGCGGGTTCTAGACAAATACAAAACAATGTGACATTTATTACATTTATTGATTTATTGTTGATGTCACCTAAAGGGAAATTCTCAAAAGTTGCCACGCCGCTTTAGGGAGTCGAATATTATTCCTCCATCTGTTTCTTCACTCTTCTCCGCGTCAATTCCCCACGCTGACCGAATATTTCATAAAGTTCACAGTGGAACAATAAGGCGCTCGCTCGGCAAAGTGTTCTCCCCCCAATCTAATTATCCTGCTGCTGTGTGCTTTGAAAACAATAGACAATTATCTTGCCGTTTGCAGGCTCGGCAATAACAACAGACAAACCTGTTTTTCTTCTGAAACATATCCGTCAGCAGCGCTGTTTGACGGCCAATAAAGAAAAGGAAGACATGTACAGCAATCAGCATTGTTCTTTTTTTTTTTCATCAAATCCATCTGACTCAAGGCCTATATCGCTGCGCTGTGATAACACAGTAGTGTACAGTACAGTACACTATCAGGTGACTTATCTCGATTTATGATGCCTTACTTTCTGTTCCCCGTTTGGGGAGAACTGCTGTCTTGGCTAATAAATTAACGCAGCCCTCTGGTTGCACACTGTACCACATATACACACCAAATATAACAATACCAGCACCTCCCCGCAGGCCATGAGTTATGAGCCTAAGTATAGGAAAGCAGAAGGGCTGGCCCTGTTATTTTTATTTAGGTTTGTGTCGGCATTTATGTTTGCGTCGCTGCTGGTGCTCCATTAGTTAGAAATTTTAATGTGTTAGAACTCTGGCGCCTGTCTTATCAATAACTGCGAGTCGACTTAATTGATTTCTTTCCAGAGTGTTTGAACAGCAAAGATACGTCATGACAAAAGTGCATTGTGGGAAAGAGTCAAACAAACTTTTACTTCAGGGTAGACGGTAATCCATTAACAGGTCATTAAAAGTTCTGTTGATTCTATGGAATTGTTTGTGAATTAATCCAATCTTGAAGCAACTGAGGCAAAATGAAGTGCACCGTTTGGCCTAAACCAGCAGGGGTGCTGTTGAGACAGTGCCAACTAGAATGTTGTCAAAAGAAGAGCAGCCCGACGTCGGCCATGAAAAGTTGAGCCAGATGCACGCTCTGGCACGACTCCTGTGGGCAACAAGATTTTTCCTCAACTCAACGCTGGCATTGAAACAGAAGTTCACAACATTCTGACGAAAAATTCCTTCTATCCCATTAAAAACAAAATTGCATTGAAAAAAAAACAATTGATGGTTTCTTGATAATTTATTTCCCTTACAGTTAATGGGTGACATACATACAAGGACAGGCTGCGCAGAAGGAGGTTGGATGCTTCACCATTTACGCTGAAAAAAAAAAAAAAAAAAGCAAAAACAAAACTGTAACATTTGATCAGAGCAAATCGGATTAGCTCTCATTTAGCTGAGTGGGATTACTCCAGAAAATGTCACTTTGTTATGACTGATCACGTCCTGTCGGTATGGCTGAAATCCATACAGCAATACGCGCGCGCGCACACACACACACACACACACACACACACACACACACACACACACACACACACACACAC